GGCGGTCCGGCCGCCGGCCATGGCCTTCACTTTCGCCGCTTTCTGCTACATGCTCTCCCTGGTGCTGTGCGCTGCGCTCATCTTCTTCGCCATCTGGCACGTGAGTAACCGGCAGCGGCTTCTAACTCTTTGCTTTCGCCCCACACGCGCTCCTGTCCGCCCCCTTCCCCAGTTTCTCTAAAATGCCATCTCACTGTCTCTACAAGGCGAGTGTGGGCGGACCGGGAGGCCGGCGTGGCGCATCTGCAGAGTGGACCCTCTGTGGCTCCCTGTCCCGGCGGCGCGGGAACAGTTCGCGGCCTCCCATGGAGGCCAGGGGCCCCCGGCACGTCCTCCGTGACCTGGCCACGGGTGGAGACATTGGGACCCCTGGTTCCCGGGCAAGACACCCTTGCCAGGGCCTGGCCAACATCTGGGGCCCCAGGAGTGGTGATGACAGCCCCCGCGGTCCCCTACTTCCCCTGCCCCCTCCCTCCTGCCCGCAGGAGAAGCTCGGCAGTTGGGGCAGCAATTAGTCAAGTAACTATAACAACTAAACATTTAAAATGTCAGCATCTGCGGTGGCTGCGTTTAGACATAATTGGCGACAAAGTGGAGAGACTAAGCGAGTGCCTTGTAAGAAAGTAGCGAGGCAGGGCCGGTGAGGGGAAGGACCACCAGGTCATGGGGGTTGATGTGGCCGCAGAGAAAAGTGAGGGGGGGGGGCAGCAGGGATGAGTGAGGCGCAGGAAAGTCAGGCAGAGAGAGGCAGAGAGGAGCAAGTTCCCTCCTTTGCTCTTCAAGCACTGAGCCATCCAACTCCTGACTCCCAAAGGTGCAGGTGGCAGACCATGGCGGGCAGCATCCCTAGTGGGCACCAGCTTTCCTGCAATCCTTCCAGGGGGCTCCCCCATGGAGGGTCGCTGTTCCAATGACACAGGTGTGCTGCGGGGACAGGAGATGGGCTGCTTCTGAGTAGACCCAGCAAGAGTGCAGAAGCCAGGGCAAAGGAGCGCTAGTCCTCTTATCAAGGCTGCAGCACTTGGCAAGTCCGCCAACTCTACTTCCTCCTTCCACGCAGCTTACGCTCTCCCCCATCAGGGAGCTGGTGGCCAGGATGGCTAAGGTCAAGCAATGTAGCAGGAACGCCCACAGTGTATAGTCTCCTGCCGTTAAGAGCCTTGCCCTGCCCAGCAAGTCCGGGCTCAGGGGGCAGGGGGTCCTGAGACGAATTCCCTGGTTCTGGGGAGCCTTGGAGAGCACGCATGCTCTCTACGTGGGAGATGACCCAGAATGAACACCAGGAGAAAGTTGCAGGCGGGGTGAGATGCGGTGTTGAGGACAAGTGGTTTAAAATGGAACTAAGCAGCTAGAGCATCTGTTACATGGAGGAGAAGGGGCCCCGGGGTGGAGAAAGGCTTCTAACCATGTCACCTTGGGAAAGAGACCTGCCTGTCGCCTGCCACGTCTCAAACGTGAGAAAGTGGACCTGACTGATCTCCAAGCTTCCCCTTCTGTCTAAGGTGGTGTAAGTCCATGAGCCAGTTGAGTTAGGGATCGGAGGGTGAGAGAGAAGGAGTCAGACACAGGAATTTCCTGGCGGATCAAAAATCCTTGGAGTGAGAAGTCATGGGATTCGGCTCCCTCTCTTCCTCGGCCCCGGAATTCTGGGTCTCATCCATGGCGGGGCCGACAGTTGTTAAGGAAATACAGGGGCGCAGGACAGATCAGTGCGGCAGACTCTCGCTCATGTGATTCAAAGGAGCTTCCTCTGCTCCTTGGGTTTTGACAAGTGACCTGCCTTCCAGGGAGCTAACCACAGCACCCCCTTTTCCCAGAATAACTTCACGGGCTATTTCTTGATGCGTTTGCCTTGGCCAGAGGCGGGCAGGGACCAGAGAGCTCCATCAAGCTGTCAGGCATGGAGTTCTCTGAACTGGCTCCTGGAGCAGGGCAGATAACCAGAAGGCATAACTGCCTCTCACTCGGGGGCAGATGATAAATAATTCGAGAGCAGGTTGATTCAATGGACTGCTTGTGCCATGGCTGACTAATAAACCTCCGAACCAAAACCGGGCATGGATGGCCCTGGTCCCACGTTGGCCCCTGCTCTCCAGGTCTCCAGCGTTCGCCCCCTGGTCCGGGGGCAGCTGAATGGTCAGAGCCCAAGGCTGGGTCAGATCCTGGCACCCAGTGGAGGTGGCAAGATTCCAGCGTCTAAGAATAAAAAGAATTTGTGCTCATGGAATCCAAATGCCAATGACACTTCCCAAGTCTCAGCCCCCCTTCCTTTCCGAGTCTTTTCCTTCTCCCTCTCCCAATGGAACCGCCGGAAGCCCCACCACCATGATTGGGTTCCTGACTATAGGAAGGGAAAGCCTGAGGCGCGTCGATCTCAGTGCACAGTGTACCTGGGGATATGGGTTACACGGTGACATTATTTCAACCAAAATCTAGGAGAGGGAGTTCTGTATTAGGCTCCGCGCTTGCTTCCTTCCAGCTCCCTGTAGCCCATGGAGGCCGGGTTCTTGTTCCAGCATCTAGAAAGCTTCAGGAAACCTGGAGCAGGGCTGTGTGTAACTTAATAAAGAGTCCGGGGACGAAGCATAACTTTGAAAGGCATTTGGGGGTCAGAGGAGCCCAGCTAAAGAGCCGAAGATCTCCTCGTCTCAGGACCCCATGCTTTTTACTAACACAGATTGTCCTGAGGCGAGGCAGAGATACACAATTCAAAGGGTCAGGTTTCATTTACAGAGTCCATTGTCAGATTGGAAGAATTAGCCTTCGGCTGTTCAGGCGTTTGGCCAGTAGGAGGCAATAACATGTAGATTACGATGCCCTGAGCTGTCTGGCAGCCACAATCATCCCTTTTCAGGTTTGGGGAAATGCCCACACCACTCCAGACGATTCAGCCCTTGCCGACATGCTGGAATTGGCTTCCGGCACATGGATAATCCTTGACGTGATGAGCCATATTGATTGCTTAGCATGTATTGACAGCCCAAATAAGGAATTGGGCACTTAACAACATACAGCAATGAAAAGGCCTTCCCCCTGCCATGCCTAGGCTGTAAGATGAAGATGGCATGTTTTTCTTATTTAATTGCACATTTCTACTTAGGGGTAATAATAGTAGCTGCTATGCATTGAGTGTCTGCAGTAGGCGAGTTCTAGGCTCTTAAGAACCTCTCAGATCGACCTCCAGCTGATAACCTCTCTCTTCTGCCCACAAAGGGCCTGGGAGCTAAGATGGATATGGCCAGCCTTAAGCACAACATTTTTTTTTCAGGGCTTGTTGTTTACTTTGCAGATTTATCTTCATTTGTTTTCAAATGAAAATGTTTCAGATTACCAATGAATCTCTTTTATATCAGCCACTATCTTTGAGTACATTTGTCACATTTCAAAGGTGCAGCATGAAACTGAGTTGGGTGTGTGTGTGTGTGTGTGTGTGTGGCTTTGCATACCTTCAGGCACATGGCCTTCTATTGTCCAGGCAGCTCGTTAGTCCTCACAACTGACCTTTTACAGATGAGGAAACTGTGGATCAGAGAGGTTCTGAAACTTGCCCAAGGTTGCCCAGCTGGTGTGTGTGGGAACTGGAATTTAAGCAGAGTTTGAGACTCTTATGCCCATGTCCTTTTTCTAAGTCTAGTAACTGTCATTGGATTGTTTAACTCTGATAATAGCGGGTAATGTCGTCATCCAAAGGATAGAAACTTTTCTCTGTATAAAGAAAATATTTGGAGTTGAAACAAGAAGAAGATACTAAAACACACTCCATGTCCTTTTTTATTAAAAGAGGAAATTCTCATTTTCTCAAAATTACTTTTTCTGCTTATAAAAAGATATAGGTTCATTGCTCAAAAAATGGAAAATGCAGGGACATATAATGGAACAAAATCACCACTAGTCTTATCATCCAGACAGGATTTGGGTGTCTTCTCCTCCAGTCATTGTGTGTGTGTGTGTGTGCACGCTTCTAAAAACTGCATGTGGGTGTTTGGAAGAAAAAAAGGTTCTAATGGTTTTCAGATGTGAAGTGGGGTCTGTTTCCAGCCAACACGAAGTGAACAGTGTTTTTTTCCGGGAAGAGTGCGCCGCCCAGCTTGGTGGAGCCTGTTTGCAGGTTGTTTATGTGCACACAGATGAAACCATCCTTTGCAAAGATGCATGACCAGTCATCCCAGGCTTTCAACTTTTAAAGTTTCTTATATGTCGAGTCACATTTTAAAACTCCAAGTTGCGACAGCAGACAAAGAAAAGAAACCCCCAACAGTACGTCTTTGGATCCGCAGCAGCACTTGTTATGGGAGAGTTTTAATGGGTCCCAACTGATGCTAACAAGTACACATGCACTGAGCAGCGGTGCTGTAGGGCAAGAGGTCTGCGCCTCCCAGGCAGTCCCGCTCTCATAGATTGAGCCACTGGAAACCGAGCAAACTGCTCCGTTTCCTTAATTATCCATCTGGAAACAAAACATGGGTTTATGGGAAATGGTAGGATGCCTGGGGTTGACAGTAGCCTGCCTGCCTTCCTCCTACTTCTCCCTCCCTTCCTCCCACCCTCTCTTCCTTCCTTCCTTTTGTTAATCCTCACCTAAGGATATTTTTTCCCATTGAGTTTTAAAAAAATACATTTTTATTTAGTTCAGAGAAGAAGGGAGAAGGAGAGAGAGAGAAACATCGGCGATGAGAGAGAATCATGATTCGGCTGCCTCCTGCACACCCCACACTGGGATCAAGCCTGCAACCCATGCATATGCCCTGACCGGGAATTGAACCAGTGACCTCATGGTTCATAGGTCGACGCTCAACCACTGAGCCACGCCGGCCGGGCTCCCCTGTACTTCTCCTAATGGCACTTGGAATCTAATTAATTCCCATAAAGGTCACTGGAAACGTCAAGTGCACCATTAGAGCCTGAGCTGGTCTCTGAGCACCAACCCAGGGCTGAGTGAGGAGGCTGGCAGGTACTGCTAACTTGGCACAGGAGGGGAGGCAGCCACGAGACAGCCCTACTCAGGCTGCGGGAAAGCCAGACTACCAGCCGCTGAGAAAGATCTCTACGTCAAGAGGAAGCAGTAGACTGTGACGGAGCCACCGCCTTCCCCTGTGCTCA